AAACCCTGTTAATTGATTTCCCGTTTAATTGGTTCAAAATTCATGTCATGAAAAATAAATGTCCTTTTACTTTTCACCGGTTAATTGCATAATAATAATAATTGAAAAATAATCTGCCATTTTTTTACATAATTTGTGAAAAAGACTAGGTGGCATCTCTACTAATTCAAAACATATGTTTATTGCTAAAGAAAAACTTCGAGAAAGCGTAATTCGTATTTGACATTGGATTTTTTTTTTAAATTAGTAGTTCCAATTATACGTGATTACTGTAATTGAACAAACTATTCAATTAAGCGGGTTCGGATAATTGGTTCCTCGGTTAATTGAACGAACATTTGTGCAAATTTTGATGTGCAATTAACCGAAAAATACTGTACTAAATATTATATTTTAATGGAACCGGTGGAGACATATATCTCAAACATGGTATGTAGCTTAAGCTATTAGAAATAGAATGATGTGCTAAAATATTTTTTAGAAATTAGTACTAAAAGGCACTAAAAAGTACTAAAACTATATTACGCCGGAACGGTTGGAAGTAGATTTCTGAAATTTGGTATGCAGCTTTGCCTACGATTAGTCAAGTACTAAGTACTAAGAGGTACTAAAAAGTACTAAACATTACATTTGAATGGAATCGGTAAAAATTTATATCTGAAACTTCGTGTGGAGCTCAATCTATTACCAATAGAATGAGGTGAAAAAATGTTGGAAATTAGTACTGAAGGTACTAAAATGTACTAAATATTATATAATAATGTAACAAATAGGATTATATATCTGAAATTTGACATGTAGCTTAAGCTGTTACAAACAGAATGTTGTAAACAAATATTTTTGGAAATTAGTACTAAAGTGGTACTAAAACCTGTATTACTCCGGAACGGTTGTAAGTACATCTATGACATTTTATTACAATGGAAGAAATAGGAATATGTATGTGGAAGTTGTACTTAAGCTGTTAGAAAGATGGGGAAACATTTTTTTTTTAATTAGTTCTAACAAGTTATAAACATTGTATTACAAAGAACCGATAGAAATTGAAAACGTGAGAGATTTCACTATTACAAACACTATGCTATGTATTAATATATTTTTGATGTTAGTACTAAATGATAAACAGTGAATGGGAAGAAATATAAACATACTAAATATAAAAAATAGTGCATTGATAAAGATTTATATTAAATAGAATTTAAAAGGCATGGAAACTACTAAATATTGTACATGGGTATTGAGCGATTAGAAGTGACAGAGTTTGGAATTCGTGTATGTGGCTTCTAAAATAAAAATATAATTTTCCCAGCGCCAATAACGAGTTAATAAGAGAGAAATTGGCATTGCCTAATCTCAATGTAAAATAGTCTGTATAATTGCGATATAAGTTACTGACTAATCATCAACGCCCAGACGAATCTTGATATTTTGCATGTAGGTTAGTGTTGGAAATTCGTATTAAATAGTACTAAATTGTTCTTAAAGTTACTAATAAATACTAAATATTCTGTACGGTAGAACGGATAAGAGTAGGAACCAGTTATTAAATACTTATTACAGTAAACATTTCTATATAAATATTTTCCACAAATATGTTCTAAACAGAAATATTCAGCTTTTTAGGGGAGGACCCAAAGGAAAAGGAAGACTTGGCAAAGATAATAATTTGAGCAAAGTTTTGATTCAAATCGGCCACTCCATTCGCCTGATATTGGATTTATAAATATTGAAAATTTGTGGGGGAGTTACCTGAAGCAGTGAACCAATGGGTTCCATCTTCGAACATGCTACAGGCTTTGTAAAGATAATAGGTTGCACAACGTTTTATTAAAATTGGATAGTCACTCGCATGATATTATAAAATTAATTTTAGCACAAGTTTGTGTGGGAGGTACCAGAAGGAGTGAACCGACATTTCCCGTCTTTAACCTTAAACTTCAGAGGATAAACTCAATTCTTTCCAATGAGGATTTTGTAACACGCAACGCTCAGAAAAAATAAATTTCGGCATTGGAATGTAAATCTTAAATATAAAGGCAGAACTCTGTTAAAACCAATTACCAATGTAATTAAAAATGTCGTATTGTGCAAAACATTATTTTATAAATTCATACTATAAGTACTAAAACGTACTACATATTTGGCATTCGTTTTAAATTAACGAAAGGATAAAAATTAAAAAAAAACCTATTATGGTCCTATTTGAAAGCATCCATCGGGAGGATCGAGAAAATAGTACACTTTCAAAAAATATAAAAATTTGTACGTTTTACTCGATTTAGTAGGATTCGTGCATCAACGCTTCAAAAACCTATGTTCGAATGAAATGCTGACTAAGCTGACTAATTGAAGATGTAGGACCAATTATTATTCGTTTATAGTAGAAACTTAGAAATTCATAAATCCATATTAAGTTATATTGTGTAGCTAAATTAAATTATATTTATTTTAACTATAAAAATATCCGCTAACGACGTAGCGAGCCTATGCTAGTGGATATATAAAATTCGTTTTTTATATTGTACCTGTATGTGGTTTTGTAATATTTATCCCAAAATCATAAAACTCTTTTTACATATCCGCGTAATTTCATGAATAAGCAAATCATCAAATATTGAATACTAACATTTTACAAGGAGATCTCTAAATATTATGGGAAAAATCATGGTCGTTGTGATCAAAATTCATCATTTTATCTCAAAAAACAAAACAGACGTGTATGGTACACTACCAGTACAGTTCAAGTAAGTGGAACGCTACGATTTGTATTGTTCCGACCAGTGGAACACTACGATTTTTAGTGTTCCGAACAGTGGAACATACCTATCCACCTTGGTACGGAACAGAACACTATGGAACGGTGCCATAATGTTTATTTTCGAACGCTGCTCTTAAGTGGGTGCAGCTCTGAGTTTTTTTGCGGAGGGAAGTTTTCAAAAGTCCCATGGCAATGCCTTCAATCCACAATGTTGGTGGTTTTGACCGAAGTTGTCCGGCTAATAGAGGAAAAACTGTGTAAAATTTGGATTGTTTAAAATTAAAATTAACAGCGGAGGAAAAAGGGAAGAATATTTTTTTATTCGACCACCGGATGTATAGATGGCACATATGTACATATCATGGGCCCAAAAGATGTTCGCCACTTTGTAGTAATTTTAACCATTATGGGACAAATTTCAGTTCTTATTGCTAAACAACTACTAAACAGCAACCAGAAATAAATGGTTGCCGAAAAAATCTATTTGAAGTAACTGAAGTTGACAACAGTTGCCATTCATAATTCAAATTTGGCAACTGGCAACGCCACTAAACTATAGTTACCATCCGTAATCGACCCATAAGTTCCTAATCATGTAGTGACTGGATGCTGTTCGGACATATAAATGACGACGATAATTTCGTTGAGTTGTAATAATTGACCAGAAGAATAAAAAAAATTCAATGATTTTGACGCGTTTCTGCACATTTCAAAAAACCAGTGAATAACCTGCAAAAGACAAAAATAAAAAATTATTAAAAACAAAAAAGATATAACCATTTTAAATCCTTCAGTCTTTTTTGGGCCACCCTGTAGCTGACTATATAATAAATGTGCCAACATTTTTACTAGCGAACGCAGGCAGGGTACAGTTTAAAACATGATTTGGTAACTAGTAGAAGTTAAAGATAATTAGCAAAATTTCTGCTTCATCACCAGTTACGAAAATTACTAAAAAGTCTAAACAAAATGAGAAAACAACTGTTCTGAATTGTTTTGCCGTAGAAAATTTATATCGAAGAGAGCGGAATTTATTATTAATATTTCCATCAGAAATCTATAAAATAGAGAATTAACGAATTCATTACCCTTTTATTCGAATACATTTTCGTTTAGAAAGGGTTTAGGGAACCCTAAATTGATTTTTTGGCGGCAAAAATACCTTTCGATTGTCATACAATTAGAAAATGGCCAAACAGTTTCTTTCAATTGCATTCACAACAAGACCGAGGCCCAGCGGTCTAAAACGCTGGCCGAATTGTTCTCTCTCATAACAAATAAATCGTTCCAGAACCTAAAAGAATCTACTGATTTTAACTTTTTACTCGAAAAGCGTTCCTGAATCCATAAAACTGGTAAAACATTGAATCAAATTTAAGAGAGCACAAAACAAAATGGCTTTCTCTTTGTAAACTTTTTACTCGAGAAATTTGGCCGAGTAAAAATTGTAAACAGGAATGCCTACTTCTGATTGGCTGTTATGTTGATTTTGAAGAATTGCCATCTAATTTTGGCATATTTACTAGATTTGCGTCCGAACTTTTCAAATTATTTTGTACTCTGAGACTTATTTTGAAATGTTTCCCTTTTACTAGCTTTACTATTAAAAAAGTACTGGAACAGACCATTTGTTGGCGAACGTTTGCGTACGACGTCTCTTGAGTCTTGGCAGAACGACGATTAACAAGCGAATTTTATGAAGACTGGAGTCTTGGAGGCTTCCCTCTCATTGTACAACCGTATAGTACCTTTGCTCCATATAATTCCTTTACTCCATACAGTCCCTTGCTCCAAATAGTTCTTTTGCTACATATAATTCCGACTCCTACATAGTTCTTTTGAATCTCTCTTTCATCATTCTTTTTTTTCGTTTTTCCATATATAGTTCCTTTGCTCCATACAGTTCCTTTGCTCTTTATAGTTCCTTTGCTCCATACAGTTCCTTTGCTTCAAATAGTTCCAAACAGGAACTAGATCAGAGAAAGGAACTATATTAATTAAAGAGCTGGAACTAGTTCCGATCGTTCCTTTCTCGAAATAGTTCCAATGAACTAGTTCGTTCCGGAACTACTCAACTCTACAAATCTACTGTTTTTCGAATTACCTATCCCTAGTAAGCTTGTGGCTTCATTTGCAAATCTATCTACTCTATCTACTGTTTTTACCGGTCGAGCCATTAGTGGCGAAATTTTATTTTATTGAATTTCACAAAAGTAAAGTAACAGGTATTATGGGCGAACAAATGGAAATTGATAACTCGAAAGAGAACGGCAACACTGAGGTAGAATTAACCGAAACGGAAAATGAGTTATACGACCGACAAATACGTTTATGGGGACTGGAATCACAGAAGCGTCTGCGTACCGCAAAAATACTAATATCTGGTCTAAGCGGAATTGGTGCAGAAGTTACCAAAAACATCATTCTGTCGGGTGTACATGCTGTTAAATTGAACGACTCTAATGATGTGACAGAAGATGACTTCTGCTCCCAATTTTTAGCGCCTCGAACTAGTTTGGGAAAAAATCGAGCGGAATCGTCAATCGAGAGGGCGAGAGCTTTGAATCCCATGGTTGAAATTTCAGCCGATACCCAACCAATTTCCGAAAAAAATGAAGAATACTTCCGGGGATTTGATGTGGTTGTCATTACCGGGGCACCAAACAGCGAACTGTTGCGTATTGATGAGATATGCCGTCGAAATGACATTAAGTTCTTTGCCGGCGACGTTTGGGGTATGTTTGGATACACATTTGCAGACTTGAAAGATCATACGTTTGTAGAGTAAGTGAGAAATCAATATTATGCAGAAAAACTGCTGTTATGATTTTTTTTTTATTCCACAGGGACGTTGCTAAACATAAGGTCATATCAAAGCCAAATGAAAAAGTTAAGACTGAACTGGTCACTACAACTGTTCAAAGAGAACTCAAATTTGCTCCTTACCAAGCTGTTGTGGATTTTGATATAACCACTCCGGCATATCAGAAAAAATTGAAACGTACTGGTCAGGCTCTTATACTTTTGCGTATATTGCAAAAATTCCGTGAAGAATTTAAGCGCGACCCATCTTACAAAACCCGAGAGAATGACTTGAAAGAGTTGCTTCGGATTCGAGATAAAGTTGGAAATCCCGAACTCATAACTGCCGATTATTTGGAAAATACATTCAGTCAAATATCACCAGCTGCGGCAGTAGTTGGTGGCGTTTTGGCCCAAGAAATCATCAAAACAGTAACGAAGAAAGAAGCCCCCAATTGTAATTTATTCCTATTTGACCCACTGACCTGCTGCGGATTTATTGAATCGATTGGCGTAAACTAATCACATCTACGACTTTTATCCATTCGCAAACAATAAAAATGAAAACGATTGAATTAAATAAGAAAAATATGTATATTTTTTGAAAACACACATAGACACTCCACCTATATAGATTATTACTCATGGCTTAGAAGTTTCGTTTTTATATGATCTAGGGTATATTAACCAGGTAGTCCTTTACGGTAGCTGGATCTAAACGTTTGAAACCGTTACGATCACATATTCCAACTTCAATGTTATCGGCTGTCATCTTTCCTTCAAATCCCTCTTTCAGAGTTAGAATCGCTGTATGCACTGCATCGTCCAACTCGAGGTCTTCGCTATACCTATATGAATATAAAAATTAGAATTTATCAACAGAATTTTTATAAGCTGACTTTTTTACTTACCTTTTTTCCAAAAATGTCTTTCCGTTGACAGCATTTTTGCCCATTGCAGTTGCTTTCCATGCGAAGTAAGCACCAGAAGGATCGCATTGGAACAAATATGGACGGTCAGAATCCCATCCACAAATCAATAGTGAAACGCCAAATGGTCGAACACCACTTAAAAAGAAAAAATGTTAAAAAAAAAACATGCAAACTACATAGATCTCTTTAGACCGGCAACCAAACCACTTACCCAGTTTGAGTATATTCCTGCATCAATGTAGCAACCCGTTGCACTAGCTGAGCAACTGGAATGGGCTCTTTATATGTAAGATAATAATTTTGAGCGAGTTTTCTTGCCTGTTTAACTAAAAGCCTGTAATCAGGTCCCATGCCTGAATATATCATGCCAATATGTCCTGTGATCATTTCGACTCGATTTACACTATGTTCTTCATACAAAGTCGATTTGTGCTTATTTTCAGTTGCAATGACAACACCATTGGAGGCTGTGCAAATAAAGCGAATGTTAGTAAGCACATTTTTCGATTTAGTTATTCAGGAATTCTTACCCATTATTCCAACAGATGGAGCACCTGCAGACACAGCAGCTAGGGCATATTCCAATTGCACTAGCTTTCCCGAAGGGCTAAATATGAATGACAAGGATTATTTCTGGGTTAATCACAGGTTAAGGATTTTTTTCGCCAAAAATTATACCGCTGTTCTTAACTCAAACATCGATGATAATTACCTGAATGTTGTTAAAGAAAAGCTGTAACGTTCCGATGCCATTTAGAATTGCAAAAATACAAATTATTGAAATACAATCAACTATTCGAATGCCAAAAGACCGTAATAATCGGCAAATAACCAAATAAACTAAAAATGACACAGCAAAGCTGTACGCATAGTTGCCATATCTGTGAAAATTATACGCTACCATCACAACAAAATAAAAGCAATGACGTACCGCCGTAAAAAATCGTAGTCGTATTTTGACAAAATTTATACTTGTTTCTTTTTAATGTTATTACAGGTTTTGGGTCATGCTTCGAATATGCTTATTAACATTTTAAATGTGATGTATAGCCTCTAATAATTTCTAAAAATTTATTTTACTTAAAAGTAAATATGTACTGATTGTCACATGAACCTTATATTCAGATAAAAGCAAAGCTTTTCAAATTATTCAGGGAAAATCGATTAATTAAGAATTGTTAGAAAATAATCAGAATATTTACAAATCCAATCCATAAAACTGAATTTTTTTATGAAAAAATTGGAATCTTGTGTTTTCAAAAGACTAGTGACAAAAATTTAAATGTATGTATAAAAATGGTTTGTATCTACTGCCTGCACAAAAAAGTCATTTGTAATGGCATTTTCTATTATCTGTACCCGTATTCGAGATCAAAGATCTGTTCCAGAAAGTGCAAGAATACTGAAAGAATAGAAATGTTTTCCGATTTCTCCCTTTACATTTTTAACTAAAAAAAAATATTTTGCAACTTTGGTGGAGAAGTCATTTGTAAATGTCCGTACTTATGCGACAAATCGGTAAAAATTCCGATGAAAATTTTTATAGAAACGAACTACAACAGAGTAAGGGAGAAATAGTTTACAAAAATTTGGCGTAGTCGTAAATTTTATATAAGAGTGAATAAATAGTACCTTCCCCAAAAAATAAATCTCGTATGAAGTCATGATTAGAGTATACTACATATGTTACGACAAAGTACCTAATTCCGGCATGTACTAATAATCGGCATCTGTTTTATATAACTTCAAATAACTAAAAAATCCTATAAAAAATACCTTGAATAATCTTGAACAATACTACAACCTATCTCTGTGTGAAATTTCATCGAGCTAAGTACATTTATTCAGTAAAAGTTGGGCATTTGGTCAATGAGGTTCAACACTCATGTTTCTTAAGTAAAAATTAGTGGGTATGTCGATTTCAAAAGACTTGTAACTATATTAAAATTATATATTTTTCAGGGATCTTCTTCGTAATTGTAAAGAACATAAAGGAGAATACTTTAAAATTTTAAATCATTAAACAAATATTTGTAATTATGATATTTTTATCGATGCCGCCTGTCGGAACAAACATTTTTATGGTTTTCCTATAATTGGCATATGGGTGAATAATAAGCACATTTTCGACCATTTTGGCTCAAAATTGGAATACAATGTTAACTAAGTGCTCTAATTAATTCAATTCTTTTTTGATTGGTAATGGAAGACATGGTTTTAATCTTAAATTCTTTTAAACTTTGAAATGCCTTATTTAGCCATGCTGAGATTGGATTAAAAGTGCCGACTATTAGCACAAAGGCGCTATTTTGTCTTAATATCAATTTAATGTACTTTAATACAAATTAATTAAACAAATTTGTATTGCGTCAAGGAGTAAACAAAATTTGGAAACATATGAACCTAAATACAATATAGTGAAAATAATGCTCTCGGGATGGTGAAACGTTTAAAACGCGAAAATCCGGCATAGTTTCTTCCGTGAATTTTAGGGACTCATATACAAATGGAGATAAAAACGCCCTTCTTTCAAATGCGATTTGGAATGTAGTTCATCCGCAAACAATATATTGTTACTTATGTATACATATAAAATGAGATTCTACATATCTAAGACTTTAATCCATATTTGGAGCGGCAAAACCAGGACTAGCGAATATATTTTTTTCTATATTCAGTGCAACTTTTTAACTATTTTCAGTGCAGTTGTTGATGTTTTGCACCACATCTGTATCAGGCGACACATGTTGAGCGTGATCCACACTTTCTTCCAAAGTGCCGGCTGCGTTATATTCTGGCATTTGCTGATGTCCCGAGTTTTTTTGTTGAATTTCATCCACATTTTCTTCAATGGAGACATTGTTTGGGGTCGAGTTCTTAATTGGAGTATCGTTAAGCAAATCTGGATTGATATTCCTAATAATGTCTGTAAGACGTTGAATCTCTGCGCGTGCATCGTCCAGTTCACTTTGTAAATAGGCAATGTTGTCGGCCTGAAGTCTAGCATCACCTAGATTCTGTAACAAGTACTGGGTTGGATCTTCGGGACGCTCCTTCAAAATACGCACGAAAACCTTCGTTAGAGATTCTATTATGCCACCTCGTTCCAGGTAGCGTCTATATTCATCACGTTTAGGATCTATCGGCTAAAAATTATACAGAACAGAAAGTTTACTACGTTTCTCGAAAGGCCCCATTATCCTGCTTACTTTAAATGCCATATTGAGAACAAATTACACTGTTTTTTTTTCCAAAACCGATTTGGTGATTTATACGGCGAAAGGCAAATCAGTACGCTGCTACCAATGTTTTTTTTCTCATAAACTAACTGTTTTGAAAATGAACAGTTTTGAATAGGGATGTGTAATTCGACTTGTGGCCATTCGACAAAAATCGATTAAAACGTGTTTAGATGCGCTACACACTATTGGACGTTTTGGGTCTGTTCTAAAATATGCAAGAATGTACATTTTTTTACTGTGGTAAATAAAATAGTAAAAAAAATTTTAGATTATTGTACAGTACGGGAATAAATTATTTATAAGTTTGCCGATGCTGATGTACCATTGTTTTTACCAGTATTTGTCTTACCAAACATTTTTTTATTACGAACGTTCCCACGCCTCACATTCCCATCCCTGCCGACCGAGGGGGCGACCTCCCCTTTCGTAGGGATCGCGTACACACCATAATACGCATCATGGTGGAATATGAGATGGGAATAGAAAACCAGCTACAGAATCTACTCCAATAGCCAGATAATTATTAAGTTGCACTAATTTAAAAATACAATTATATTAGATTTTATGAGTTCAACATTCTTGCTAATATCTACATTAGAGTACACAGAATTAAAATCAATACAAATTTTACTGAGTGAATAGAATAATTTGTGCGATGAAAATGTACATATAATAGTTGATAATATCTACTAGATCGAAAAGGAACATTTATTCTAATAGATGAAATTAGGAAATCAGAGGGTATATTACCAATTAATATTTTTAGTACCATCATAGTGTTCAACATAATACGTCTACTTTTCAATGTAGGTAACCGAATTAATTTTAACCTGCTAGTGTAAGAAGGCAACACAAAATCACTATTCCAATGTAAACCTCTCAGTGCAAAAAGTAAGAATTGTTTCTGCACTGATTCGATTTTATCGGAATATATTGCATATTGCATTTTACTAAACTATTTTAAAGTTGTGAAGAAAAAATCTAATTTTTTTGCTGCTTCTGGGACAGAGAATTGGTCTAGGCTTTTTATAAATTCGTTACGAAATCCATTCGATTTCAAATGTCAATTTCATAACATATACGTCAAACATAATCCACTGGATTTATGAACAGGGTTAACGTAACGTATACGCTATGAAATTGACGTTTGAAATCGGGTGGATTTAGTAGTCTAAACGCGCTCTTATTGTAGTATCAAATGATACATTCTTGCAGCTTTTGGAAGTCTAATTTATAGAGGGAAAATAATTCCCATAAATCAAACATTAATTGGACGGCGTTTGCTCTGGATTTCCTTTTCGTTGTAAAACTTCGATGCTTAATTTCAACTCGAACGAGACAATATAAATGGTCTGTCTCTGTACTGCTGGAATTTATTTATATTTATTTTTGAACATAAGCACGTTACGGACACTTCCCATGACAGCTTGACCATAGGTAGACCCTCTGATACTGATTACAACAACATACGTTTTTTCGGGGGGAAATCAGTTCTTCTCGAGATATGGGGTCATAAAGATCAAAAAATGCCCTCACTTTTTATTAAAAATATGTAAGAATACCACTCCGAAACTTTTTTAATTTTTACTTTTGATACGGATAAAAATCACATTTTTTTGTCGTAATAAAAAAAAGAAAAGATAAAAATCACAATAAAGGAAAAATTGAATAATAAAAGGTTGCAGCAAACCCCAACTGATTTGATTCTAACGTAAAGGGGGAAACACATAGGAGGACTTCAGCAATGGCATGTTAAGTTAGTTTCTTTTTTTGTAAAAGAATAAAGGAGAACGACGTCAAAAATCATGTTATAAATTGTATACAAATTTCAGAAAATGGAAGAAAATTCGTAAGTAATGCAAAGTTTTTAAACAGGAAAATGGGAAAATTTGAGAAACAAAGTTTTCTTCATGGAATAACACAAAATTTCCAGCATTTTCATATGTGTGATAATGGCTCAATTAAGGGTAAGGTGTGGAAGCGATAGAAATATAAATAATTATATCCAGAATAATATTTGTTACTACAATATCAAATTTTCCTTATGATATTGAACAGAATAGTGAAAATTAGTTACTTGTCACTTTTAAAAATATATATTTATTGATCAGTCCAGCCGCTTTCGACAAAGAGTGGGCACCGCTAAAGGATTTTTAAAAGTTCACAGCCGATAATTATATCCAGACATTGTTCTTGTACAAAACCACCTTTCAAATTAAATAGGAATGACAAGCAGTTAATGTCGGGGTAGTTCATATATTCGAATTTGTTCATATTTTTGATTCGTCAAGCTTAATTACCGCTAATTCCCTGATTTTTTCAATACTTTAATGTCAGTTTGAGTGTTCACAATATCGAGAGTTCACTGTACAAATCTTACAAAATTGTACGCCAATTTGTTTTAGTAGTTCAATCATATTGCTAAGCATATTGTATTACATTTATTGGCCTATTGGCTTCGTAATAAATGTTGAAGTTGAAATAAATAAATAATCCTTCCTTCCATGCCAGAAAAAAGAAAAAAATAGTACAAAGCTTGCTTAATATACATTTTGAACAAATCTCAGATCAAAACCAATATTTAACTGCAGAAGAGAGTTTAATTAAATTTGGATTAGAATATTTGTAAACACCTAAATAAAGACATTTTCCAATAAAAATTATTACTTTGCCTGTGTTGAATGAATTTAGGTTTAATAGCTAGAATTCTTTATTCAATACATTAGTGCTGCCTTTAAGTTATAAATGCAGTTTTAAGAAGTAAAAATAAAATTATGAACTAATCAAAACATATTTTGTGCCATTTTGTTAAAAATACCGGAATGTAATATCAAAGCGATAAAAATCAAATATCTCTATTGCAAATAATTAGTGCATAGTTTTTGGTATTGTAAGGATATAATATTTTTGGTTTAGGCGTATAACTTTTGCGCGAACTGTAATATTGAGAGTTTAGTGCGTTAGACGACGTTTTCATTAAAGGTTCTCATATGAATCATGGCGGTCCTTAATGATCCAAAACGAATCAATGATACTTCCATTTTTATCATCTGAAACCTGTTCAAAATATATATGGGTATGATTAAAAGCCTTTAGTCGTGTGTATCCGTAATCCTGAAAATATATAAATTAAATGTAAATGTTTATTAGTTTCAACTCCTCCATATGTGAGCACTTACTTGACTGTGAAAAGCACTCCATTCAGGTATGTTTTTAATAAATGGCTCTCGACCCTCTTTACATCCCGCTGATCCAGTAATTAAATGGACAGGAGCTTTTGGATTGTGGTACGGTTCTTTATATGAGCCGTTTCGAACTTGATAATCATATATGGGCCAAAGTCGTTCATAAGAATGTTCATGAGCCCATATTTCTACGTCTACACCAAACTTATAAAAAAGTTCTTCCAAACCGAACAAGTGTACAAACGGCCAGCCAACTCTGGTCAGCGTCTGTGAATGTGTGCAATCATTGTCATTTTCATTACTGCAGTACATTGGTCTATGACCGTAGACAATTATCCATGGTCGAATAGCGCGATTTTCCGGTTTGGTTGCTTCCTCCAAATCTTTTTGCAGCCATGCATATTGAAAAACAAGTGGCTTTAAGCCATAGTTTAGAAAATAATACATCTCCGTTGAAATCCCTATAAAATGAACTGGTCCCAAATTAAAACTGTAGAATAGGTTTTCTGTTTCGCCGGGCATACTAAATCTCGCCCTGTAGTTTGAAAAATTGCTGCAAAATGTAATTTTTTTATTAAAAACAATTTGTTGATATTAAATAATCTGCAGCCGTGTTATGTCTATTGATACACACTATTTTTCTTCGTGATTTCCTGGGACCACCATATAAGGAACGTAGGCTGCGATTGTTTCAACTTGTCGCATAAACTCATCACCGACACGAGCATTGTCCGTATTCATGTCATATGCAAAATCACCTACATGAATTATGGCATCATACATTCCCTTCTGGGTGTCTTGTTGCAATCGAGCTAATGACTGAGCATTTTCGTTTCCCATATCTCCGAATAGAGCAACACTGGGTGACCAATCGGCACCATTCGGCACTGTACGAAATTCAAACTTGGCGGACCAACCTAAGTTGCTGCCGCAATGGTATATATATTTAGTTGATGGCTTCAGATTTGCTAATGTTACCTGTAATGTGGTAAAATTTTATATAAAGTGAAATGTGTCACTTGTTACAACTTTAATTTATTTTAATGATACTGTGATTTCTATTAATCAGATTTGTGACAATTAGTATTTAAAATGCATAAAGGAAAACCAAATTATAGCAATACATTTTTTGAATCGTGTAGTGACTATGTATTTTAAATTTACAGTTTCGGTTATTATCGAAATTGTTTTTTTTTACGTACGTGTATGAAGCGAAAGTGTGTATATATTTTTATTTCAATATTACCCTGTGAATATATTGTATTTTATGTTTATCTCCACCATCAACAAATTCATTTCTAGATCCTGTTGATTTATACTTAAAATCATTTTCTTCGCCCCATTCTACAATGCTTTCACCAGTATCGTTACGTGTGGACCAGGTAACAACAATGTCACTTGTTGTTTCTGAAAATAAAAATTTGTATGAAATGCAGTTTTTATGGTACTAAATAATTAATAAAATTAATGATTAACGAAACAAAGTGGGAGGCAGGACACCGCCTTGCTTATTGAAATTGAAGCTTATGATTGGTACATTCCAATAACATTGTTCAAAACAAATTCAAACTAATTTTCTCAGTATGAATTAAGTTTTGGGCTTTCGTTTATTTATTAATTTTATTTTTTCCTGCATTTAATTTTGTTTATTACTGTCATTTAAATTATACGGTCAGATAATGAATTTTTCAACTAGTTTAGGTAATATTGTTAGCTATAATAGTTTTCTTAGAAGTCAGTTATGCAATTTTAAAAACAATCTTAATATAGGTCACGTAAATCTCAGAAGTTATAATTTGAGTAAGAATACTTTTAAAATCCATGAATTGAGAAATATTTTAGAGGGTAATAATCTTGGCATTTTTGGCGTGACAGAAACATGGTTAAAAACTGTTGTTTCCACAGAAGCTATACAAATACCAAGTTATTTTTTGTTATAGGAGTGATCGTCCTTGTCATAGAGGAGGTGGTGTTGTAATGTATGTTTCTCAGAATATTAAACATAAATTTGTGTGTAGAGGAAGTTCTTATGGAGTTGTTGAATATGTTTTTTCGCGAGGTAATTGTAAGTAATTGTGTTTTTGTCGGTGTGGTTTATTTGCCACATGACGATATTGTGGCTTTTGAAGATGAAATCTCTGATCTTGTTGTTAGGTACTTAAATGTGATTATTATGGGAGATTTCAATAATAATATGTTTGATCTGCAGCGGAGTTTAGTTGTAAGGGACATTTGTAGCAGATTAAATTTATCTGTTGTCCACAACTCAATGCCCACACACGTCGATATTGCGCATACCTCAACTTCTTTGTTGGATTATTTTTTTGTGTCGTGTCTGAATTTGGTAGCATGTTCAAATCAGTTTTTGTACCCTGGTATTTCTGATCACTCGTTCATCTTTCTATCAATTAATGATCCCAGTTCTTGTGTGCAGAGTTTTTATGAATATGCAGATTTCAGTTCTGTTGATCCTGTGGCGCTTTCCAACGCCTTTGATGCATACAACTTTGGTGAGCTTTATTCTGTGGCAGATGTTGATGCCCAGCTCGATATATTGAGCTGTGGTCTTCGGCACTTGTATAGTGTAGTTCCTGTTAAAAGGAGGTTTTGTAAAATTAATAATGATGACTGGTTTAAGTCTGCAGAAATTCGGTATCATTTGTCTCTTTGTGACATTTCTTATAGGTCCTATTTTCAGGATAAAAGTGTTGAAAATTCGAAATTGTTTTGTCGCTATCGTAACCGAGCCAAAAAATTATAAGAAAACTAAAATTTATTGCTCATAAGGATATGTTTGCAAATAAATCCACAAAGGAAGTGTGGCCAATTTTAAATAAAAATGGATGACAGAGAAGTCGGGAATGTTGATGTTGATCAATTTTCGTTGCACGTTGTCAATTCTAGATTAACACTGTCTGTGTTTCCAGAGATGTGGAAAATTGCAAAAATAGTGTCTATTCAAAAAAGTGAATATAGGCCTATATCCATAATGCCGATTCTTTCTAAAATGGTTGAATATGTCATGAAAGATCAAATGTTAGTTTATATTGGCAAAAATACTCTTTTTTACATGAGAGCCAGTATGGATTTAGGAGTAATCGCGGTACATCATCTCTTCTTGTTGACTGACAATATAAGAAAGACTGTTGGTGCGGGAGGTTGTTGTGTGTTGTTGTCAGTAGACTTAGAGAAAGCCTTTGACAAAATTAATCATGCTAATTTAATCAGAAAATTGCATCGTTTGTTCAAATTTTCGTCCTCAGTTTGTAAAATTATCTCGTCGCATTTGTTCGGAAGGAAACAGTATGTTTGTTGTAAGAATGTTGTTTCTGCAATGCTCCCTGTGAATAGTGGTGTACCCCAGGGGCCTGTAATTGGGCCTCTATTGTTTGTTATGTATGTTAATGATTTGCTAAGTTGTATTAGAAGTAGAAGCTGCATGTCTTTTGCATTTACTGATGACTTGCAGATTTTGTTTAAAGGAGAATATGTGTTTTTAGATGTTTTGCAGTCCTCTATACATTTTAAAATTAAAAAACGTGGTTATCTGCAAACGGATTCTCAATTAATACACGAAAGAGTAAAGCTATGTTTTTTGGGAACTTGCAAGAGAATTCAGTAATGGTCTGTTCCCGTTCTGCAAGAATCTACTAGATTTTTCTATTTTCTTCGATAACATAAAGGAAATTTCGTTATCGTAGTAAAAAGTAGTAGATTCTTGCAGTACGGGAACAGACCATAAATGTTTCCATTTATAATAATTCTATAAATGTTGTAAGCTCTATGAAATGTCTAGGTTTGTTTATTGATAGTAGTTTGGTGTTTGACGTGCATGTTAATTTTTTGGTGTCCAAGGTAAACTTTATTTTAAGAAAGTTGTACTCTTTGGATATGTCTCCACCTAAGAGCATTAGAATTCAATTGGCCCATGTATTGATTATGCCAAATTTTTTATATTGTATTGAAATTATTGGGGGTTGTTGTGGATATGTTTTACGTAAAATTAAACTCTTGTTCCATAGGGTTATGCGATATATATATTGTGTTAAACGTCGTGATCAAATTTCTCCTTACGTTAAAGAGTTCCTCGGTTGTACCTTTGAAAGTTTCGTGAGTTTGAGGTCAATGTTGTTGTTCTACAAGACTGCAGTCTCCTTCCTCTGTAGTTGATTTGTTTATGTTTTCTAGATCTGTTAGAAACATACAAATACTTGTTCCACGTTTGTGCCCTTTTTTGGAAAAAGCCTTTTTTTGTGAGAATTTCTGTAATTTTCAACACTTTACCGCCTTCTCTTAAAACATTTAGCTCTTCCTTAAAATTTTATCGTACTCATTTATATGATTACTTCAACCTCAATTCCTCTTAAAATTCGTGGGTTTTGTTTAATTACTTGTGTTTTTATTGCATAATTGATTTAAACATTTAAATAATTATAGCTATAATAAATTATATTTCTTTTATATTGATGATTGTGATATAATAAGATATTTAAACCTGTAAATTGTAATTAGTGTACTGTAGTTCTTGGCCCTATGTGCTAGGTCGCTACATCAAATAAACTAATTATAATAATAAAAATGTTTTTGAAGTACAGTGGTTCTGAACCCCTCCAACTAAATAGAAGTTAAGATAATGATGACTGGTTTAAGTCTGCAGAAATTCGGTATCATTTGTCTCTTTGTGACATTTCTTATAGGTCCTATTTTCGGGATAAAAGTGTTGAAAATTCGAAATTGTTTTGTCGCTATCGTAACCGAGCCAAAAAATTATAAGAAAACTGTTGTATACGTTACGTATTCAGTAACTACTAAAATGGAACCATTTGATGAAAAGGCTACAACCTGGAATCGTTGGGTGAAAAGATTTGAGACGGCGATGGCGATTTTTGGTACGAGCGAGACGATGAAGGCTAAATATCTATTACATTTCATGGGTACAGAGGCTTATAATAAGCTATGTGACAAGGCTTTACCCTTGATACCAGAGGAATTGCAGTATGATAATATTTGTGAATTGCTGGAGAAGCATTATAACCCTAAACCCAATGAAATATTTTTGAACTTTAAATTCCACTCACGTAAGCAAGAACCTACAGAATCCGCCGCAGAATATTTAGTGGCTTTGAGACATCTAGCAACGGGCTGTGGATTTGGTGAATACCTGGACAAAGCACTGAGGAACCAGTTTGTGTACGGCATAGGGAACAGAAAGATTCAAGGCCGGTTATTGGAAAAGGACGATTTAACATTAGATGATGCAATACATTTGGCAAACATGTTTGAACAAGCTGAAAAGGGGTTCCAAGAAATGAATAAGCAGCAAGAAGCCGTTGACATGGTGAATATGAGAAAGACAAGAGAGAGGGAGAAAAGAGTCAGAGAGACAGAACAAAGAGCGAGATCGAAACAGAATACAAACTGTGACAGATGTGGCAGCAGTGAGCATAATTCAAACGATTGCCGTCACATAAATTCTGTATGCAATTTTTGCAGAAAGAGAGGCCATTTAAGGCGTGTGTGTTTTAAAGCAAGATCTACAATGAAACAAATATCTGACGGCGAAGTCAGTGGAAAGGAGGACTCAGAGCAAGAAGTGTGTAAGATGGAAAGTAATGGACAGAGCTCCAGCATACGGGATAAAATTCTATGTACATTGGAAGTAAATGATCGTAATATCACATTTGAAGTTGACACGGGAGCGCCGGTCACCATCATAAGTCTTGCCGATGCTTACAAATATTTTTCGAAGAAAATACGAATTCATGAACCAGATTTGGAACTCTATAGTTATTGCAAGACGCCTATAGATTGCGCGGGAGGTTTTTAATCATCGCAGCTGATCGTTGAAAAAAAAATACAATTTCTACTTCTACTTGCATACATGCAGTGAATATGTTGATTGCATTTTGATTCTTATTAAAATTTGTGAAGAATTGCGTGGAATATTATAGATCGACTCATTATATCTCGCCATAAAATTATCATCGAATCTGAAGTTATTGCATAATTGTTGCTTTTGATTTATTGTTTTGGATAACTGTTGCTGCATGCTAAATTGTTGTTTTGTTATTCTGTTGTTGCATGCTGATTGTTTTTTTCTGCGGCTGTGATTTATTGTACCAAAAATGCCGAGAGTACTAAAGTGTGGTATTTGTAGCGACTCAATTACCAAGACACAAGGATGCATAATGTGTCGACTATGCTCTAATTGGTTACATGCTTCCTGTGCCAACATTTCTGAGAAGGATTTGTCTGCATTGCGAGCAATGAAATACACTCATTACATTTGTTCAAAATGCGACACGGGTCTTCAAACCAATCACAATAGTGGAGTAGCTGATGAGATACGAAATCTGAATACAAAGTTTGATGGCTTTATTTTAAATAATCAAACTGAGCAAAACTCAATAAAATCAGCATTAAATGATATTAAGAATGAAATGTGCTCATGCTTTTCAGAGCTTAAGGCTGAAATTGGCAGCTGCAAGGAACAAATACAAAATGTGGAAGCTAGTACTTCATCAAAAATAACCGAACTTGAAACAGAGATTAATGTCCTGCACCGAAGACTCAATCGTGCCGACATCCTGATTGGTGGACTACCAGCGGGATTACCTGATTTGATTGCACCTGTTCTGGCGTTAGGTACATTTTTTAATGTGCCTCTATCAAGCCCCGACATTAACCATGTTTCATACATAAGTAGAAAAACACAAATACTTGTTAAATTTAATAATGTATCGATCAGAGATTCGATAATGAAGGAGTATTACAGGACGAGGGCTCTCAAAATTAGTGACCTGATCGTGGGAACAGGTGATGATTTGTCTAACCGAGTTTATCTGAATGAACATTTTTCTCCTGGTGCAGCTCAACTCAATTCCTTATGTAAGAAACTGCGAAGACAAAATATTATTGTCAAATTTAAAATCTTGAACTCGAATAAACCAAAGGCAAAACTATTGTTACCCAGTGGGGCAGATATTTACGCTGATGTCGAAAAATGCACCTCTTTGTTAAATGGAACTGAATCTATGCCATCTTAAAGTCATTTAAATGCTATTTTATATTATTGTATGTAACATACGTCTTTCATATTTTTTTCTAATGATCAGCTGTATGATTTGATTATATTTTTTCTATATTTTGAATTTTTTGATATGAATTTATATTCTAGCGTTTTTATATTAAATATATTATTTTGGCTCCCCTCTTCTAAATTGTTATCTTATGATGTCTCTTAATGACAACCTCGGTCCAGTTGTAAACAGTAGCTCTTATATAAAGTCTGTCCTATGCTCAAATAAGAATAATTTCAAAGTCGCCCACTTAAACTGCCGTAGTATAAAACCCCAACTTAAAATTGATGAAATAAGACATGTAATTAATGATAGCATGTTTCACATATTTGCTGTATCAGAAACATGGCTTTCATCTGATGTATGTAGTAACGCAGTTTCTATTTCAGGATATAAATTGTGTCGCAATGATCGGAAAATTGCTGGTAGAGGTGGGGGTGTCGGGATGTATATAAAAAATGAAGTACCATATAAAACCATTTTTCAGATTTCTATGATCGGTTGTGAATCTCTATTTATAGAGTTAGTTTTTGACAATGTAAAGACCCTTGTTGGCGTGGTTTACTTGCCATCTGGCAATTTACTAGATTTTGAATATAATCATAGAAATCTTTTCTCCAGATATTCGAATATTGTCGTATTAGGGGATTTTAATCTAAATCTATTTGATGTTCCAAAAGCAAATAATGTTCGTGCTTTCTGTACCCGATACAATATGTCCATAATACACAACAGCAAACCAACACATTTCGGCCTAAGTAGAAGGTCGACATCACTAATTGATTTCATGCTAGTCAGTGATGTCTCTTTAATAAAACTCTCCGACCAAGTTCAATGTCCGTCTGTATCTGACCATGCCCTTATATTTGCTTCTCTCTACTTTAATATTCATTGTCCGTCTGAGTTTATAGAATATCGAGATTATAATACAATTAATTGGGAACATTTATTTTCTATCCTAGATAACTTTGATGCTAATGCATATTCTTGTACAGCTGATGTGAACATAAAATGTAAGCTCATTATGAATCTGTTTGGTGATCTTTTTTCATGTGTACCTATTGTTCGAAAGAAAATACATCATAGATCTGACCGTTGGATTGAAGCTAGAAATGTTGTTTTTGCCAGATCGATTAGAGACCTCGCCTTTTCCGCTTTTCAATCTAATCGATCCCAAGAAAATTGGTCTTTGTACTGCAAATATCGGAATAATTAATTTTAATGAGTTCCCTGACACTATGCCTTCATTCTCTTTTCGGTGTGTTTCAGACGTTGAGATTTTCGAGGCTCTTGCCAATATCAAGTCTAAATCGGTTGGTGTTGACGAAATACCGATACATTTCATCAAGTTGGTCTATCCGTATATATCGAACTATATTTCACAGTTAGTGAATAATATACTGACGAGTTCAGTTTTTCCTCAGGCATGGAAAATAGCTCGGGTGGTGCCCATTCCGAAATTGAAGAATATTAATAGCCCAGATGATCTTCGTCCCATCTCAATACTACCAGCATTGTCCAAAGTAGTGGAAATCGTTATAAAAAATCAAATTTTAGAGCAAACATCAAGATTAATAACAGATAATCAATATGCTTTCAGAAAGGGTCACAGTGCTACACATTTGCTTTTGAAGGCCACGGATTTTATTCGGCAAAATATTAATGAGGGCAAAGTAAATGTATTGGTATCTCTTGACATTTCAAAAGCTTTTAACTCAGTAAATGTTGAACATATGATTACTAAACTAAGGGAAAAATTCAACTTTTCAGTAACCGCATGTCGACTAATCCACTCATATCTTACAGGGAGATTTCAATTTGTTGATGTTAAAGGTTTTCGGTCTGAAACGGTTCCACTTTACAATGGTATTCCACAAGGTTCCGTATTAGGTCCTCTACTGTTTATACTGTATGTAAATGATTTACACGAGTATGTGGAGTCGGAAACTTGCAAAACATACCAGTTTGCCGATGATATATTTCTGATATTTACTGGGTACAATGATAATATATTATTTTTTGAGAGTACAATAAATGCATGTCTTCAGCAATTTTTGTGTTGGGCATCTATAAATTGTCTCACAGTAAACTCGTCTAAAACGAAAGCAATGATGTTTGGTATGTTTAAAAACGTCTTTCCTGATCCAAATATTAAAATTTGTAATAATAAAATTGACTTTGTAACCCACCATAGACTATTGGGCGTAGTTCTTGATAATGAACTATCGTTTCGGCACCATGTAGATACTTTATCTGGTAGAATTTGGGGATCACTAAGACAAATTTATGCATCAAATATATCTATGCCTATCAATATTAAGAAGAAAGTAGCTCATGCTATACTGTTGTCAAATATCCTGTATGGTATTGAAATTGTATCAGGTTGTATTGGTATAAATCTTGCTCGGTTACGTAGGACTTTGAATGCTGTTGTGCGTTTTATATATAATGTTCCAGTCAGAAGACCTATATCTGAATATGTAAAACGCTTTTTAGGTTGTTCTTTTTTTAATTTCATTTCTTATCGAAATATACTGACATTTTATAATATAATAAAAACTGGCGAGCCTAAACCATTAACCAGCACGTTTTCTTTTTCACATTCTTCGAGAAACCCTCAAGTGGTGATACCAAGAATTTATAAATCCATTTATGCAAGATCATTTGTAGTTAGGGTAGCACGATGTTGGAATTTATTGCCATATGATCTAAGAATATTCTCCCATTCTAATAATGTGTTTAAAAGAAAACTTCATCTATATTTTGGTTTACTGCAATGATTGGTGGTTTTGAAATTTATTATTCTTCTTTTTACTACTGGTTTACTGGACATAATCTCATCTCTTTTCTTATTATTGTTTGTATTTTATGGCTGGATTGGACTGGCTGAAGATTAAAAGGAAAGAAAATAAACAAAATTCAGTCGGCGAATTTGGAAGGTCAGTTAAGGATATCTTGGAGAAATATCCAAATTTACAGTCAGTGGGCAAAATTAGGGGGTTTCAGGCGCGTTTGAATATTAAAACCGATGCTGGTTAGAAGGCGCGAGGTGTTAAAAAGATTAGATGACCCGAAAAATACAATACACCAATCGTGGTGCGAATAAATCTTGCGATAATCCGGTCTTAGTGGTGGGAATTGCCTACAGTCGACGAATTGTTTAGATGGAGAAAAATATTGAAGATTATTATTGCAGTAGAAGTACATCCAGATGACCAAAAGATAACCCTGAGCACACACAAAGGATTATCAACCAACAAGATTAACAAGGCAAAGATTAATGGAGCAGTTATTAGCGGATATACCGGGTGTTAAGGTGTTCCTGGATGACATTAAAATAACAGCCAAGGATGATAGGACACACTTAGATTCAAGGTGTTAAAAAGATTAGACCGATACAATATCGAATAAATCTTGGCGGAACCGAGAGAGTATTGAGTATTTTGGTTATGTGGATCGACAAGGAATTTAAGACACCCGCCAAGATTAAGGCTATTTTTCCGGCAACCAAGGGAACTAGACTAGAATTATTATGGTCGTTTTATAAAAAATTTGAGCTCTATAGTTTATCCTCTAAATCGATTACTGCACAAAGAAGTTCCATTTAATTTTGATGCTAAATGTAAATGGGCTTTCGAAGAAGTAAAGAGACAAGTGGGATCAGAGGTGGTGCTGACACATTATGATCCAAGGAAAAAATTAACATTGGCAGTGGATGCGAGCCCTACGGGTGTGGGAGCCGTATTGAGTCACGAATTTGGCGATGGAACGGAAAGACCTATACAGTTTGCATCGCAAACTTTAAATGCAACCCAGAGACGGTATAGCCAAGTAGACAAGGAGGCATACGCAGTAATATTCGGGGTAAAAAAGTTTTTCCAATATGTATATGGAAGGGAATTTACTTTAATTACCGACAATAAAGCAATATCACAGATTTTTGCGCCTGACAAGGGATTACCGGTATTGTCTGCAACGCGTATGCAACATTACGCAGTATTCCTGGAATCTTTTGATTACAAGATTCGATTGCGTAAATCTAAGGAGAATGGGAATGCAGATGCGCTATCGAGGCTTCCTGTAAATGAATGCAGCAAAACAATCAGCGAGATTGATCAAATTGAAATGGAATTAATTGAGAATTTGCCAATCACCGTCAAGGAATTAGGACAAGCCACCAAAAAAGATGCGGAAGTAAGACGTTTAGTAGACAGTTTGTCATATGGTCGGAAGTGTGAGCCTGCCGACAGTTTTGGAATCGACCCATCCGAATTTAGCTTGCAACAAGGATGCTTATTAAGAGGCATAAGAGTGTATGTGCCAAAACCGCTGAGAACTAGAATAATACAAGAATTACATTCGGGACATTTTGGTGTATCAAAAATGAAGTCACTTGCCAGAGCGTATTGTTGGTGGAAAAATTTAGATAAGGACATTGAAAAAGCGGTTGCTGGCTGTTATGAATGCCAGATCGGGCGACCAGATGTAAAGAAAGAACCTGTACATTGCTGGTTACCTCCGAAGAAAGTTTTCGAAAGGGTGCATGTGGATTACGCTGGTCCCTTTTTGGGCAAATATTTTTTTGTACTGGTGGATGCTTTTAGTAAATGGCCGGAGGTAAGGATAGTTCGAGACATTACCACGGAGACAACAATCGAAGTATGTAGAAGTATATTTGCGCAATTTGGAATACCAAACATTCTAGTCAGCGACCACGGGACGCAGTTCAAAAGCGCGAAATTTCAAGAGTTTTTAAAACAAAATGGTATCATGCATAAGTTGGGGGCACCGTACCACCCTGCAACGAATGGTCAAGCTGAACGTTTTATACAAACCTTCAAAACCAAGTTGAAGGCAATGCCTCGTAAGGAGGAGTTACAGCGAAAAATTGATCAAATTTTATTGGCATATCGACGAGCAATTCACCCGGTTACAAATAAATCACCAGCTATGACAATGTTTGGGCGACAAATACAAAGCAGATTGGACCTCCTACTGCCCAACAATGAAGTCCGGGACCCCGAAAGACAAAAAACTTCAAGAGAGTTAGCAGTAGGAGACGCTGTGATGGCTCGGGATTATATGAATAAGCTTAAGTGGAAGCCTGGAATAGTAAGAGAGAGAATTGGTGATTTGCATTACAAAGTGAGGCTGGAAGATGGTAGGTGTTGGAACAGACACATTGATCAATTGAGAAAGATTAATGGCAGAGTAATGCTGGATAACGAAGTTGAGGAAACACATAGTGCTAGTTATGAGCCATCAGATTTAACTTTGGAGAAGAGAGAGAACCCTACAAGTATGAGTAATGCGGAACGAGAAGCCACAGACGAATGCGTGATTTCAGACAATCGAGATCAGTCCTTCGCAACGCCCCCAAGTTCTCCGGGGTCAACATTCATCGGATTTGAAGAGCCAGCAGGGAATGGTGAGGCAGTCATAAGAACGAATCCTAGGAGGAATATACGGCGACCTCATCGGCTGAATGATTATGTTATCGATACGGATTGAAATGTATTAGTGATCGGAGTTTTAAGTTAATAGTATTTTATTGAATTCATTTTATTATTTTTGTTATAAGAGAGGGGAGAGGTGTTGTATACGTTACGTATTCAGTAACTACTAAACTACTATCGATGTAAGCATATGTAATAAACACCATCACTCAGTTGTTATGAGTTACCCGAAGGCAACAGTTGTTTCACTAGCAGACCGGGATATATAACAAAAACTAAAATTTATTGCTCATAAGGATATGTGTGCAAATAAATCCACAAAGGAAGTGTGGCCAATTTTAAATAAAAATGGATGACAGAGAAGTCGGGAATGTTGATGTTGATCAATTTTCGTTGCACGTTGTCAATTCTAGATTAACAATGTCTGTGTTTCCAGAGATGTGGAAAATTGCAAAAATAGTGTCTATTCAAAAAAGTGAATATAGGCCTATATCCATAATGCCGATTCTTTCTAAAATGGTTGAATATGTCATGAAAGATCAAATGTTAGTTTATATTGGCAAAAATACTCTTTTTTACATGAGAGCCAGTATGGATTTAGGAGTAATCGCGGTACATCATCTCTTCTTGTTGACTGACAATATAAGAAAGACTGTTGGTGCGGGAGGTTGTTGTGTGTTGTTGTCAGTAGACTTAGAGAAAGCCTTTGACAAAATTAATCATGCTAATTTAATCAGAAAATTGCATCGTTTGTTCAAATTTTCGTCCTCAGTTTGTAAAATTATCTCGTCGCATTTGTTCGGAAGGAAACAGTATGTTTGTTGTAAGAATGTTGTTTCTGCAATGCTCCCTGTGAGTAGTGGTGTACCCCAGGGGTCTGTAATTGGGCCTCTATTGTTTGTTATGTATGTTAATGATTTGCTAAGTTGTATTAGTAGTAGAAGCTGCATGTCTTTTGCATTTACTGATGACTTGCAGATTTTGTTTAAAGGAGAATATGTGTTTTTAGATGTTTTGCAGTCCTCTATACATTTTAAAATTAAAAAAACGTGGTTATCTGCAAACGGATTCTCAATTAATACACGAAAGAGTAAAGCTATGTTTTTTGGGAACTTGCAAGAAAATTCAGTAATGGTCTGTTCCCGTACTGCAAGAATCTACTAGATTTTTCTATTTTCTTCGATAACATAAAGGAAATTTCGTTATCGTAGTAAAAAGTAGTAGATTCTTGCAGTACGGGAACAGACCATAAATGTTTCCATTTATAATAATTCTATAAATGTTGTAAGCTCTATGAAATGTCTAGGTTTGTTTATTGATAGTAGTTTGGTGTTTGACGTGCATGTTAATTCTTTGGTGTCCAAGGTAAACTTTATTTTAAGAAAGTTGTACTCTTTGGATATGTCTCCACCTAAGAGCATTAGAATTCAATTGGCCCATGTATTGATTATGCCAAATTTTTTATATTGTATTGAGATTTTTGGGGGTTGTTGTGGATATGTTTTACGTAAAATTAAACTCTTGTTCCATAGGGTTATGCGATATGTATATTGTGTTAAACGTCGTGATCACATTTCTCCTTGCGTTAAAGAGTTCCTCGGTTGTACCTTTGAAAGTTTCGTGAGTTTGAGGTCAATGTTGTTGTTCTACAAGACTGCAGTCTCCTTCCTCTGTAGTTGATTTGTTTATGTTTTCTAGATCTGTTAGAAACATACTGTTACGAATATAACTTTAGATTTAAGTTAATTTAGATGAATTCCGTTAATTTAAGAATTTGAATTGTAACGTAAATTTCTACTACGCAGTTTATTTGAATAACTTCACAACAACAACCACTGTATAGATTTTTCTACATCCTTCCATTTCCTCTTTCATTTTCTATTTTGTTATTGTCGTACAATTCTTGTTAAACGTCATTCCTCTTTCTTTGTTATTCCCTCGCCTGTATATGTGTTGTTGTTATTGTAAGTTTGTTTACTCAAGTTTGTTGTTGTTATTGTTCACTCAGTAAGTTTGTTGTTGTTATTGTTACTCAATGTGTTTGTTGCATTGGTAGATTGTTCGTGATCTAGGTGTTACCAGATCGTCTAGAAACTTCTGTAGCGACAGGCAGGGCTCATATAAATAGAGGGAATGGAAAGGCAGTGAGTCAGTTGTGAATCAGATCGCGAATTGAAACCGTCGTGTAAAGTAAAGTTGTGTGAATAAAATCATTGTAATAATCGTAATCAGAAAGAACCCGCGTTTTATTTGGTACGAATTGTATCGGGAAATAAAACAACGTCTACACGGGATTTAGTAAAATCCAAGAACGTAACAATTGGTGTCGGAAGTGAGATTACGATAATACTACGATGAAGTTTAAGGATCTACGAGTGGAAGACTTGAAGAAGGAGCTCAATAAATTGGAATTGTCCTCTACTGGCAACAAGGCTGAGCTACAAAAACGTCTGTTGGATGAGTTCGAGCGCCGTGGTATGAACATCGATACATATGAGTTTGACAGCAAGGATGAAGTGGATTTATCGGAAATGGGCGAATCCAACGGTGGGGAAGTCTCGTCAGTAGCTGCCAGGGTTGACGATTTGAGAGAAATGCTGGCTAGAATGTTCGAAGAGAATGCCAGAAAGTTTGAGGAAAATTCCAGAAGAAGCGAAGAGAATTCCAGAAAGTTAGAAGAAAACACGAGACGTATGTTCGAAGAGAATTCCAGAAAGTTAGATGAACTCAAGGCAGAGAATTGTAGAATGTTTGACGAAAATTCGAGAGTAATGAACGAGAAACTCGAAAACATTACAGAAGTTATTGGAAGGAGAGTGGAAACCGTGGAGATCCAAATTAAAGAGTTGGATAAGAAAGTGCAGTCGGTTGACGAGAAGATTCTGTCTGTGGATGAGAAATTTCTGGCCCACGACCACAGGTTTACGAATCTGGAGAAGAAAATGTCGGAACTGGAAATCAAAGGTGGTCCGGTGCGAGTTCCTGATAACACACTAAAAATAAAACCTCCTGTATTCGACGGCTCTACGTCATTCAATGTTTTCAAGTTACAGTTCGAGACAGTGGCTTCTAGAAATTCGTGGAACGACAGCGACAAAGCGGTTGCATTAATTCTGGCATTGAAGGGCAGTGCTGCGGATGTTATACAGAGTGTTCCTGTCGCTTCTAGGAACAACTATGAAGATGTTATTGCTGCACTGGAACGTAAGTACGGTGGCGAACATAAACAAAACATCTACCTTATGGAATTAAGGGGAAGAGTACAGAGGGCAAACGAGACGTTACAAGACTTTGCAGCTGAGGTGGAACGTTTGGTGCTAATGGCGTATCCAGGAGAGAATCACCCATTGGTGGACCGTATGAAAATCGAAACCTTTGTGAATGGCATACGTGACCCTGAGATTAAATGTGCAACATATGCGTCACCAAAAGCGTCATTTGCCGAAACTGTGTCGTTTGCCCTTGCCCAAGAGACGGCAAGAATAATTGTTAAGCCCCAGACCCACAAGATTCGCCAACTGGAGACCGAAGATTGCGAACCCAAATCTCTCGTTAACTCGATCAAGGACGCCATGAAGCAGGTAATAGAAGAAACAAAGTTAGTAGGGATGGCTAAGCTCAGGGTTAGATGCTACAACTGCGATAAAGCAGGTCATATTGCGCGCGAATGCAGAGCTAGGCGCAAACGATCCAGGTCATCGTCACCACCTCCAACGAAAGATGGTAGACGAATGGCTCAACAGTCCACCAATGAGTCACCGTTAAACTAAATCGAGCCAGTCCAGCGGGGCATGAACTGGCTCCCATCGACGATGGCCCCACAATCTCCATAGCAATAGTACAGCAGAAAAGTCACAACCTAACAACAACTGGGTACATCAATGGTGACAAGCGGGTTCTGACGTTAGATACTGGCGCATCAAAGTCCATCATAAGGTCAGATCTGGTAAAGGGAAACATAACGCAACTTAATGGAGTCAGACTGCGCACAGCAACGGGGGAACCCGCGGCCGTACACGGCAAGATTACCCTGAGACTAACTATTGCCAATAAATCGGTGAATTACGATTTTATAGTTGCCGATATCGTAGACGAAGTGATAATAGGCGCAGATTTTATGATTGCCTTCGGTATCAATCTGGATATGAAAGAGCGTGTGATGACCTGGTCTAACGTCGAAATTCCGTTAAACGTGGGCTACGATGAAACTGCACCCATTAGACGTCTGACTACGGACCATCCAGAGATAATACCGCCCTGTGCCGAAGCAATAATATGGGTACCAATGAATGGAGATTGTGGAGCCGAGAAGTTGTGGGTGGTGGAACCAGCAGAAAACAGATACAGTAACATCCTAATAGCGAATGCCCTGGTGAAAAGCAACGAGGACGGATTGATTCCTGTTAGAGTTTTGAACCTGTCAAACAAGCAAGAGCAAATTTGCCAATTTTCCGAAGTTGGACAATGCACACCAGCTGAAGCTGTAGTTAATTTGGAAACTAGCACCGAAAAGCCAGCAGCTATGGAGAAGAAGCACCTCGACGGCTACATAAAAGAGTGGACACACCAATTATCACCTTCCGAGAGGAACAAGGCTAAGCAGCTATTATGGAAACATGCCTCTACCTTTGCGTTGACAAAAGAGCACCAAGGAAGAACATCAGTGGTGAAGCATGAAATCAATACAGCAGACGCGCGACCCATTAAACAGCCTCCAAGAAGTGTCCCCCTGGCCAAAAGAGACGAGGTCCAGAAGCTGATAAGTGAAATGGAAAAGAGTGGTGTAATAGAACCATCGTCAAGTCCATGGTGCTCCCCAGTGGTCTTGGTCAAGAAGAAAGACGGAAGCACCCGGTTTTGTGTGGACTACCGAAAGTTAAATGATGTCACCAAGAAAGACAGCTATCCGCTCCCAAGAATCGACGACACATTGGACACATTAGCCGGGACGTCATGGTTCTCCACCCTCGACCTGCAGAGTGGGTACTGGCAAGTAGAGATCGCCGAGAAAGATAAGGAGAAAACAGCGTTTGGCGTTAATGGGGGTCTCTGGCAGTTCAATGTCATGCCATTCGGACTCTGCAACGCCCCGGCTACATTTGAAAGGCTGATGGAGCGTGTGTTAAAAGGGCTGCAGTGGAAGTCATGCCTCATAAACGACCAAGAAGAGGCGTTCAGTAAACTCAAAGACATGCTATGCAGAGCCCCCATTTTGGCATACCCTATACCTGG